TATTTTTTTAATTTTAATCTGAATTTTTACTGTATCGTTTACTTAATACTCTTTCTTCACTGTGGTATATATTATTGGGGGGGGGGGAGAGGGGGTAAGGGAATTGGATGAAAATGGCCAAAAGGCGCAAACCTCCAGGTAGAAGACAAGTAAATTCTGGAGGTGTAATTGTAAACCTGATGACCAGAGCTAACACTGTGGTCCGGTGCGTCTGAGAGTGGCTGAGCACGCAGACCTCAAAAGTTCTCATCATAAATTAAAAAAAAAAACACACACTTTTTTTGTTTGGTATCTGTATGAGGTGATAGATATTAAGTAACGTAACATCATTTCACAATGCCCTCAGCTTACACAGTGCTGTATGCCAATTTTACCACAACAGAACTGAAAAGGAAACAGAAAATCCAGTTAAAAAAAAAAATTAAAATTAAATTAGGATAAATATGTTTCACTTCTATGGCTTTTCCCGCAATTCAAAAACCTTGGTCAAACAATCAAGAACTACCTGCCGTGAAACAAACTCCACCAGCGCTCTCAAAGTCATAAAAAGGGGCTTAACTTTCTAACCACACTCTGCCTACAGCTCCAGTGTATTAAAATAATATTCCTACACTAACAAGCAATAACTAAAAACATGTCAGAACGGTTAAGTTTCCCCAAATCCCAAAAGTATGAAGCTGTTATGTTTTCTCTTAAATAACATTTGCTCTTATTATAAATGTAAATACAGAGACGATGGGAAATTTCGGGACTCTGGGATAAGCAGAAAAGTCTTCGTCCTTTTCAAAGACCTGGGTTGGTACATTTTAAAAATGTTTTAAAGTTTATTTATTTTTGAGACAGCGAGACAGAGAGAGACAGAGGGTGAGCAGGGGAGGGGCAGACAGAGAGGGAGACACAGAATCCGAAGACAGGATCCAGGCTCTGAGCTGTCAGCACAGACCCTGATGCAGGGCTCGAACCCATGAACCCCGAGATCATGACCTGAGCCAAAGTCGGACACTGAACCGACTGAGCCACCCAGGCGCCCCAACCTGGGTTGGGTTAGTAAATTAACTGAGCTTCTGGGGTCCCCACATCTTCAGGACGTGGTGGCACGCACCTCTACCACTGTTGCAAACGTGACAGCCGGGCAGTGTCAGACCACCGAGGATTCATCTTCCTCCTCCAGGAAGCACCAAAACCCTCCTTCCACATAAGAGGATTTTACAAAGCTTTTGAAATGAGAAATGGCTGGGAATGCAGCCAGCCGAGATCCTGGAGAAACGTGGCCGTGGCAGTAGAGCTCGGAGACCCACCAAGATGGGGGGAAAGGCTCCCCATGAGGACAGGAAAGTCGCTGAGGTGGTAGTTTCCCTGCCTTGTCTCCACCCTGGTCATGAGACACTGGAGGGGAAAGCTGGATTTGTCCCAGATCGTGAAGGGTAAACGTTAGACCTAAGAGAGCACGTGGGCACCATACTGGCCTCAGCTGTGTTACCCCTGACTCCACGCAACCCACCAGATCTCTCCAAACATCCAAAGGTTAGAGGGATCGCTGCTTTCTACTTCCTGGACAACCTCCTTGTTGTTTCTCTTCCAGGTCTCAGAAACAGACCAAGGAACTGACCTGGGGAGACACCCTCACTCCGAGCTGGGCAGAACTGCACGTGTGGACACACACACACACACACACACACACACAATGAAGGTACCCCGCATCCACACTGCCTTTCCCTCCTTCCAATCTTGTCTCCAGTCTTAAAACAGTGTTCCTTAACGATTCAAACACACGAACAAGGTGTCGATGACTCTGCAGATGGCGGGATCGGCTTCATTCATGAGTCTGGGAAGACGGAGCTGTTCAACCTCAGTAGAAAATGGGAAAATGCAAAACAAACCAATGAGACTCCAAATTACACCCACCAACCTGGAACAGTGAGAAAGTTGGATGGTACTAAGTACCCAATAGGATGGAAGGAATCTCAGGCACTGCAGGCAGAAGGGCAAACTGGCACATAATGAGAAAACCGTGTGTGAGTAACCCTGGGACCCAGAAATCCCACTTGTACACGCCCCCATACGGGTACTCCGGACGACACAGCCAAAGGCACAGCAACAAGCTGAGCATACAGACAAGGGAGAGCTGTAATGAACGTATGCCTGTTGTAAGGAAATTCAGAGCACGTAAAAACATAACCTGAAAAATAATAACCACCCACAACCACGAAAGTGCACACACACACACAGATTTCTCTGCATGCTCACTATACGTATATAATTTCTTATTTAAATGCAATCGTACTATCCATGCTGTTTTATAACCCATCCCACTCAATAACAGTGAGGTGTTAGATCAACACCATCATTTTTAACAGCTGTACCGTATTCCGCACGTTCCATAAATTATTTAACCAAGACTGAGTTGTTAGAGGCTGAGGTTACTGAAATCCTTTCACTACCAAACAGAACTGCTCCGAACTTAACTGCCCATGCACCTTTGCTGCTTCTTCTAATTAGTAAAATTGGAAAAAAGACGTATCACCGTGAAAAATGTGTGTACCCTGGGAATGGAATTGCTTCGTTAGAGGTATCCATATTTTCCCTACGATATACATTCTGTGCTTTCCTTTTTAAAAAAAATTTTTTTTTAATGTCTATTCATTTTTGGGAGACGGAGTGCGAGCAGGGGAGGGGCAGAGAGAGAGGGAGGCACAGAATCTGAAGCAGGCTCCAGGCTCCAAGCTGACAGCACAGATGTGGGCAGAGGGGAGACGGCCTCAGCGTCACTTGAAGGGAGGAATGGCCAGGACTCAGGGACTACACGCTAAGGATCTGGGAGAGGGAGCACTTAAGCAGGACACGCGGCTGGGGCAGCAGGTGGTCGGGGCGGAGTGGGGGGGGGGGGGGGCGATGAACCGAGCCTGCCAAGGGCTGTGGAGAGAAGGAAAGCTCACAGTACAGACCACGAGCAAGATGGGGTGCTGTCCCTGCCTCGGCCACAGATTTATAGCGCATTCTAGAATTCAGTGGGCAGCTCACCCTACTCCCTGGAATGTGACTCTCTCCTCTGCAAAGGATCAATCACATGGGGACTGTGTACTATCAAGGCTCTTCCCAGCTGTAAAATGCTTTAAGCTCCTGTCTGTATCAGAAACTGGGTGCCAGTGGCCCACCTGCAGCAAGGATACCTTCCGTGGACAAAGAGGCAAATCGTATACATAACCAGCTTCTATGAAATCAGAACCTTCTTCCAACACTGAACAAACAAGCCTACGAGGCCGGAGTAACACGCAGCTCACATCTGGCCACATGCTGACGCTTTTCCTCCCCACCCCTTGGTAACAAGGAGCAGACTGGCAAAATAGTTCAAATGCCTTCTTAAAAAGTACACTGCCTTGTAGGCTCGGAGGCCTATTTTGAGCAAAATGTTTCAAACCTCCATGCTCAGAGCTGCTCGAGGCATCAACAGCTCACTCCAGCTGAAGGATCAGGAAATCAGTGAAGGACTCCTGTGCATCCGCTGGAAGCCAGGCCGGCGTCCAGCACTGAGACACGAGTGGGGACTGGACATCACTGGCCCCCAGGGCTGTCTGCTCAGAATGGGAGCTTGACACCAAACCCAGCCACCCAGCACTGCGCGAGAAGGATTGTACGGAGAGTGCGTGAGGCTAGCGATGGCGGAGGCCAGAGAAGGAAGTGAGGACCTCACTCGAATGTCCAGAAAACTACACAGGGGAAGGAGCATGGGAGCTTGGTACAGACACAGAAGGTGTGCAGGAGCTGGCCCCGGAGCGGGGAGGCACAGGCCAACACCATGGAGCATAAGGAAATAAGCAAGGGACAGAGAGGACGCTCAGAAGGGCTGGCCGATGGCTGATGGCCAGTCTGTAAGAGCCCTGAATGCCACACCCAGGTAGCAGCTACACAGAAAGCCACTGATGTTTGCAAGCAGAGGGGCGAAGGCGGTGGAAAGGATGGGGTGAAGGGGGCAATTCAATGGCCAAAGTACCTTAAGGAAACCAGTACAGTGAGGAACAACATGGCCTGGACCAGGGCAGGGGTGGGGTGGAGGGTGGATGTGGGAACACTATACCCCTTCTCCATCTTCTCAGGACCACTGGCATTTAATCCTACAGACCCGCAAGGAAACACCCTGACGCAGAGTCGCACGGCACCAACAGCAAACCTCAACAGATACCCCCGACCCTGCCTTTCCAGGTCTGGTTTCCACTCCTGTGTTGAGAACGCGCTCCCGGGGCGGAGAGGCAGCCCCTGGCCCCAACCCTCCAACAGCTGATCAAACAGTAAAGCACACTGTGTACACTTGGAACGGGGGTGGGGTGGGCAGCAAACAACTCTCTCTCTCTCTTTCTCTCTCTCACACACACACACACACATTTCCAGGTGGCCAGCCTAAGCAACAGGACACATTTGCTTCATTTCCTGCAAAAACAGGATCTCCCAGGCATTCAGAGAAAATGTCCCCCAGGTCCTGGGCTCATTCCTGTCCTCAACACTGTTGTTTTTGTTTTTGTTTTTTTTTTGTAGCACAAGGAAGAAAAAGGAAAAAGGGCAGGTGGGGCATTGGGGAGCCTCGGAAGCAAGAACAGAAACGATAGCAAGATGGGCAAAGTTGAAGACAGAGGGACTTGGGTTCAAATTCTACCTCCACCACTGAGGCTACTTGGATAAACCGCGCGGCCTCTCTGTAGATTTTTCCCCCATCTGTGAAATGGGTGCAAAAATAAATTCCATGTAAAAATAAATACTGAATTACCAGAATTGGTGGCGCTACTGTTAGCGTCAAGCACCAGCAGACAGTTCAAAGGAATCCAGTATTCACGATGGCTACCGTTAAAAGGGGAGAAAATTTAGAAAACGTTTACGGGGCTCGGGGGACCGGCGCTCGGCTGGAGCGCACCGAGGCCCCGCGCGGAGCCGCGCGCCCGGAGCAGCGGCGCGCGCGGGGGTGGCGGGCGCGCGGTGACAGCAGGTTGGCCCGCGGGGGAAGGACCCACCTGAAGACGCGCAGCAGCAGGCAGGCGATGAGCAGCGCGGTGAAGGCGCACGCCACGATCACGGCCGCCTTCAGGGTGGGCAGGTCGCGGAGCAGGCTGGAGATGCGGGTCACCAGGGCGTCGCCGCTGCTGTTGGAGCTGCCGCCGCCGCCCGCCGCCGCCGCCGTCCCAGACCCCGTCCGGGTGGCGTTCCCGGGCCCCGGGCCGGGCGACGGCCGCGGCTGGCGCTCGGGCTGCGGCTGCGGCTGCGGCTGCGGCTGCGGCGCCGGGGCGGCCTCGGCTCTGCGGGCGCGGGCGGAAGGCGCGGCCAGGAGCGCGAGCAGCAGCAGCAGCAGCGGCAGGAGCGGCGCGGGCGGCGGCGCGGCGCGCATCGTGCGGTCGGGCGGCGCCGGGCCCCGCGGGGCGCGCGCGGCGGAGCCCCGGTCCCGCACCCGCGCCGAGGCCTGCACCCGGGGCTTCCGCGGCGGAGGCGGCTGCGCGGCGCTCGGCAGGAAGCTGCGGCGCCCGGAAGAGCCCGAGCCGCAGCCTCCGCCGCTGCCACCAACACGTTGCACGGAGTCATTCGACGGGCCGCGGCCCCACGTGGGCGGAGCAGGCCACCCCGGCCCGGGTGCGGGCTGCGCCCCGCTCGCCGCCGGCCGCCCCGATCCCACCCCCACCCCCGGGGAGCCTGGGACCCCTTGCGTGGTAGCGATCAGGGTCAGGACCACTATTGTGCAGGCTGTGCGCTTCGGGGTTTACGTTTTATTTATTTCATTTAATCCTAAAACCCCTTTAGGAGGCAGGTATTTCTTTATCTTCATTTAATCGTTGATTTAGCGCCCAGAGAGGCAGCTCACAGCAACCTAGATTGGGTCAGACTCCAAACCTGAGCCTATGGGACATGGAGGTAAAACCCTCATTTTACAGATGAGGAAACTGACCTCGAGAGTGCAGGGTTTGCCCCATGCGCTGTGCATTGCAGTATATTTCAGTATCTCCCCAGTTTCCCTCTCTGTCTCGTTTCTTAGCTCATGTTGTCAATTTTTCAGACATTTTGCACCTCTGCTTATGAGCTGGATTGGGAAGTGTGTTCCTACACGGAGACCTTTGCAGTGGAACAGTAGCTGGAGGCATTAACAGGCTGCCTCTCAGACCGAACTTTTAGACTCCAGAAGTAATTGACTTGCTGCCTCTAGTTTGTAAGCTAAATGATAAGGAAGTAGAGAAAGATCGTTGTGGGGGGTCCAGTGTGAGGCCCAAAGATGGGAACTTAGGGCTTTCCTGGAGCATCAGGAACTGCACTGAAGACCTTCACCTTTCACTTGCAGGACTGAAGCTGGCAGAAAACTCTAATGGTGGTTGAACAGGTAAGGACACATGATGAGGACTCACTGATCTTAAACAGCTCTCTCCTTGTTCTGCTAGAGAAAGAGACAGATAAATAAAGATAATACAGTGTATCAGTTAGCTGTTGCTGTCTAACAAATTATCTCAAAACGTTGAGGCTTAAAACAGCACACAGTCTGTGTAGATCAGGAGTTTGAGCATAGTTTAGCAGAGACCTCTGTTTTAGGCTCCCTCGCAGTGCTATATGCAGGTGTTAGCAGGTGCTGGGGTCTTATCTGAAGGTTCAAGTGGGGAAGGACCTTCTTTCAAGCTCCATCAGTGGTTGTTGGCCAGATTCAACTCTTCACAGGCAGTTGGACTGACAGCCTCAGTTCCTACTGACTGATGGCCAGAGGCTGCCCTTACCATGTGGGCCCTTCCAATATGGCAGCTTGCTTCACCAAAATGTACAAGCTTGGAAGCCAACGAGAGTCTGCTAGCAAGGCAGAAGTCACTATCTTATGAAACCTTATCATAGAAGCAGCATCCCAGCACCTTTGATCTTGTCCACACTCAGGAGAAAGAGATTACACAAGGGTGTGAACGTCAGGAAGCAGAGAATATTAAGGACATCCATGAAGATGCCTGCCACTGTATATGATACATTTTGATTTAGTGGGGTGAACAATAATCGGGTTATCACCCAGCAAATACTATTTGAAATGTGTGTTGAGTGTTCTGGCATGCCCCAGTCGTGATAAATTTGGACAGATCACATGATTCGGGTCTCTTCCATCTCTAAAATGCCACGTTATGGCATGTCAGAAATGCTGCTTTGGTAGAAAGCCAACATTATCATATCAGCATGATAGAATTTATAAAAAGAAGTTCCTTAAAGAGCTAACTCTGATACCCATGACTTTACAGCACAGCGTTCAAAAGCATAAACCTCAGACATCACAGGCTCATATTTTTGCCCTTATCCGAAATTCCTGTGTAGTGGAGCAGAGAGGTCCTGAGCTCTGGAGTCTCTCAGCCGGAATGAGAGGTTTGACCACTGAGTGGCCTCAGCCAAGGTGCTTAACCATCAAATCCAAGTTACCTTTAATGTCTACAATAAAGACAATAATCCTTAGCTCAGTAAGGTCACTGGAAGTACCCAAAAGAAAGGAAAAAAGACAAGTACCCTTGTCTTTCTTTTGCTATAATTCCTGGACCTGTGTAGACTTATTTGATTATTTAACATTGACTTAACCACCAAGGATGTAAAAAGCATAAACGTTAGATGTTTTTAGTAAAGTGAAACTTTAGGTTCTTTCATTCTTCCTATTTGCTGTGCAAATCATCGTAACAAGGGGCTCATTTATAAATGGCTCTAAATAAATTAGAGTTCCTTAAACATTTAGATTAAACCATCCATAGACAATGACATTTTTAATGTGGAACACGGGTGACAGACAACAGAAAACGCTGGCTGATTTCAGAAAAGGGGAGTTTATTGGATGCATGTTGGGTTGCTTCTAGAACCAACTGTTAGCTAAAGTAGAAGTTCTAAAAGTGTGGTCTGTGGGCCCCTCGGGCATCTGAGACCCTTTCAAGGAATTTCCAAAGGGAAAATTAATGCCATAATAATACTAAAATGCCACTTGACTTTTTCACTGAGCTAACATTTGCACTAATAGTGCAAAAGCAATGGTGATAAAAAACAACGGTGTCCTACTTCTCCAAAGAAGACACCCAGATGGCCAATAGACACATGAAAAGATGTTCATCATCACTTACCAGGGAAACGCAAATCAAAACCACAATGAGATCTCACTTCACACCTGTCAGAATCAACAACACAAGAAACGACAGGTGTTGGTGAGGATGTGGAGAGAAAGGAACCCTCGTGCACTGTTGGGAATGTAGCCACTGTGGAAAGCAGTGTGGAGTTCCTCAGAAAGTTAAAAATAGAATTACCCTACAATTCAGCAATCACACTATTTTTTATAATCCAAAGAATACAAAAACACTAACTCAAAGGGATACATGCACCCCTATGTTTATAGCAGCATTATTTACACTGGCAAAGATATGGAAGCAGCCCAAGTGTCCATCAATTGACAAATGGATAAAGAAGATGTGATATATATAGATATATATGAAGATGTGATATATATGTAAGAAGATGTGATATATGTCAGAAGATGTGATATATATAATAACATTCCATATATATACATATATATGTATATATACGTATATATATGGAATGTTATCCAGCCATTAAAAGGAATGAATTCTTGCCATTTTCAAGGACATGGATGGAGCTCGAGACTACAATGCTAAGTGAAATTAGTCAGTCAAAGGCAAATATATGATTTCACTCATATGTGGAATTTAAGGAACAAAACCAATGAACAAAGGGAAAAAAGAGACAAACCAAAAAAAAAAAAAAACCTCTAGTGACCAAACTGATGGTTACCAGAGGGAGGTGAGTGGGGGATGGGTAAAATAAGTGAGGGAGATTAAGAGTACTTTTATTATGATGAGCCCTGAGTAATATATGGAACTGTTGAATCACCATGTTGTGCATATGAAACTAATATAACACTATATGTCAAGTAACTAAAATTAAAATAAAACTTAAGAAAAAGACAACCGGTGGTGTCTTATCATGGATCAACACAAACTATGCCCATAGAAATTGAATTCTTCACAACTATGCACAATAGGAGGAAACAAAAGCTATAGCCATGAAATTATTAAATCTTGACCCTTGGGAGCAGAACATTTTAATATTACATGTGATGAAATGGGAAGTATGAATAAAACACTTCTGCACATTGAAGCATGCTGTTTGTCTTAAGAAAAAGCACATGTACAATTCTCAGAGTTGCAAACTGAACAAGCCACTTTTCTCACGGAATACCATTTTCAATCAAAGGAGTGCTTTTGACTTGGTTTTTGGCAGGCATTTTGTCAAAAATGAACAAGATGAGCCTGTCACTTCAAGGATGACAACTGATAGCACTGTGGCCAATCTGAATTCTTAGAAAACTTGTCAATTAGGATGCTCTCTGCAGTGAGCTAGACTGCTTCCCAATCCTTCAAGACTTTTCTGATTAGCTTTCTAATTTAGATGTTATATAATGACATATGTCAACATTTAGAAACTCTGCATAAACCAGCAAACCAATTTTTCTAAATGGCCAATGGGCAATGTTACAAAATCTGTTACCATGTGCGGGTAACAAATCCATTCAAAGTGCAAGGTAAACAAACGGATTTTGATGAAACAGAGTGCAGAAGTTCATTGTCATGGTTTTAGATTTCACATTGTAACTGATCTTTAAGACCTACTAGTTGTGGGGCACCTGGGTGGTTCAGTCAATGGAGTGTCCAACTCTTGGTGTTCACTCAGGTCTAGATCTCGAGGTTTGTGAGATCGAGCCCAGCATCTGGCTATGTGCTGACAGCATGTAGCCTGCTTGGATTCTCTCTCCCTCTCTCTGCCCCTCCCCCATTTGCATATGCACGCACACATTCCCTCTCTCTCTCTCTCTCTCTCTCCCTCAAATAAACATTAAAAATAAACTATTAGTTGCAAGTTTGGATGCAGTACCAAAGAAGAATGTCCATACCATTTGAAAAGAGTATTAAAATTTCCCTCCCTTTTCTGAGCACGTATCTGGGTCAGGCTGGATTTCCTTCATATTCTTCGTACTTGCAGCAGATTGAGAGCACAGGCCAATATAAAGATCCATCTATCTTCTATTAAGTCAGATATTAAAAAGATTTACAAAAAGAAAAAGTTTGGGGCCCCTGGGTGGCTCAGTCAGTTAAGCCTCGACTTCAGCTCAGGTCATGATCTCGCAGTTCATGGATTCAAGCCCCGTGTTGGGCTCTGTGCTGACAGCTCAGAGACAGGAGCCTGCTTTGGGTTCTCTGTCTCCCTCTCTCTCTGACCCTCCCCTGCTCACCCTCTGTCTCTCTCTCCCCTTCAAAAATAAATAAACATTTAAAAAATTAAACTAAAACAAAAAGTTAAACAATGCCACCCTTCTATTTTTTGAGAAAA